ATTAAAGTTGAAGAATGTCGCGTTAAAAGACCTTAAACATTGAGATTCATTCACGTGAGGATATCCCAGTATTGTTTACAATTTGGTACAGACCATTCTATAGATTCCGCCACTTTCAACCATTAAATTTGACAATTAAATTATGCAAGGAAAAATTGAGATAAGTTATGAATATTTAGTGTTATTCACATTACATTTTGCACCGAATTATTATTTTCTTCATTGGAGGGTGGAACGTCATGAGAGTCACTAGGGAATGATCAAATTTCACGAGGGTTAAACTCTACGAAAGTCACAAGAGAGACGATTAAATTTCACCAGTCAACTGACACGAGGATCATATGGGAATGGTCAAATTTCATGAAAGTGAAACGGCCCGAGACAAAACGAGATGGTCAAATTTCACGAGAGGCAAACAGCACGAGAGTCACACGGGGATGGTCGAACTTCACAAGAGTCAAACGTCATAAGGGTCACAAGAGTGTGGTCGAATTTCACAAGTGTCAAACGTCACGAGGGTCTCACGGGGATGTGCCCGGCGCGTATCTGGGAGACCCGGGTTCGATTCTCGGCTGGGTGAAGCGGAAATTTTTTCTCTCTAAATTCGAATTCTCTTAGAATTTTTGTTTTTTTTTGTTGGTCAAATTTCACGGGATGGAAACGGCACAAGGATCACAAAGAGACGATCAAATTTCACGAGAGTGACCCGACACAAGAGTCATACGGGGATGGTCAAATTTTACGAGGGTCAAATGTCACGAGAGTCACAAAGGAATAATGAAGTGTTATGACGTTTGAATGTTTCAATGGTCATTTTCCACGAAGGTCCAACGTCAAAGGAGCGAGGAGCAAAGGAACACAAGAGTCACAAGGAAATACGATGCTTTAACGATCTTTAAGGAACTTCCGCAGTAAGTTCTGGGGCTATGGAGTGGGGGAAAATATCAAAGGTTCCGACACTCCGCTGCATCATTAGAAAAAAAAAAATGAAATGACGAATGCTTCATGCGTGTCATGAAATCTCGTCGAGTGGGTTCCTGTGCATGTATAACTCATAATCAATTAATCCCCAATCGTTTTCATTCCGAAATATAATGTATATCAATTTTCTAACAAATAAAAATTATCACGCGTGGTTTGACAACCGCGCATTTCTGTTCGACGCAGTTGGTATTCTTGTGTCCCGATAAAACTCCATAGTGTACTGTGAACTCTATAGTATATGCATCGACGGTGTGAACTGGAGTAAACAACACGTTATTTTAGAAAGGTTAACCTGTTCGTGTGTTTCGGATAACGTTGACAAATAAATAAATATACAACGACGTGGAAAATTCAGAGGATTCGTCAAGAACGCGGCACAAAGGAAAATTCATCAAAAAGAAATCACGAGACCGGAAAATCGCAGCTGAAAAATTGGGAAAAGCCAATCAAGGGAGAACAGTGGGCGAACCGGAGGTGGAGACAAGTGATGACAATCCACCAGTAATTGTTAGAAATCGAATTGTCGACTTGACATTGTTGGCTAATGAGCTTGAATGTCCCAAGTATAAAAATCCCTTATCGTTGAAGAACATGGAAAAAGAAATCAAACGTGGTTTGGGTTCACATTTAAACATCAGATGTGTACACTGTCTGTTTTTGAAGCCTGTGCCTACTAGTCAATGCGTGGACGATGAAGAGGGTTCCAACCGAAAATTTTTTGAGATCAACTATCAAATGGCTATGGGTATCCAGTGTTCTTCCCTTTCATTATAATTATCAGTAACGAATTGGTGAAACGATTCAAGTCGATTCAGCTGTCAGCTGCGATTGTGAGAAATATCTCCGAATCTAGGGGAAATAGCGAAATTTTTGTAACTACCTTTTTTGTAGCTCTTAATTTCCTCTACAATAAAGGTTCCGATAAAAATTTTGCCATCTCCCTTGGATTCGGAGATATTCAAAGAGAGATATTCAAAGAGAGATGAAAACTGTTCAATAGTCAAAATCGACTTGGACCGTTTTACAGTTTCGATACTGACGTTCGAATATTTATGATTACATAATTAAAATTTCTTTCCCAGCTTGTCTTCACGTTGGCATTGGTAACCAGGGGTTGAATAAGTTATTGGCATGTGCGAGGATACCTACACTGAATTGGAATACCCATAAAGATTACGAGAGGAGAGTAGGACCCGTAGTGGAAGCAACTGCTAAAGAAAGCTGCGACGGAGCAGCGAAAATAGAGAGAGAATTAACTATTAAGAATGTTGAAGAAATCGAAAAGATGGTGTAAGCACGAACGACGCAATGTGTTGCATTTTTTTTATTCATCTATTTTTCTCAGATTTTTCAATTTTTATCCGATTTTATTTCATTTTTTATTTCCTCTTTCTCCTGGTTCTTCAGTGTGATATTTTGTGCCTTTTTGGACCAATCATTTGACTATTTCATGACGAGATTTGATTCTAATGAATTGATAATCCAGCAGTGATTATGTGAATAGATTTTCTCCATCACTTATTTTGTGATTTTTTTTACATTTTTTTCTTTGTTTTTTTTCCCCTCTTGCTTTTTAGTTTCAATGCTCTATTGAGCTAATTGATCAACTCTCCTGTACAGAGATTTATTACTCATCAATCGATTTTTTTATGTCATTTATACTTATAAACCGAACGATTTCTCCAATTATTCAACTTAATTTATAAGTCTAGAGTTCCATTATAAGAATAAATCTGGATATTCAATGACAGAGCACAATTGTAATCGATTAGTTTGAATGAATTAATCAAGAAAAATAAAAAATCGAAATCTGTTCTGAAAATGTTTTGTTTTTTTATAAAATTTATAAGGTTTGAGAACTAGCATGTGTGTGAACCTTACAGGCCTCCTCAGTATCGTAAGAACTTCATAATTCTCAACGTAGCATCTTCCTCTAATTCAAGGGTAGGCAAAGAGACTGATTCAGATGAAGAGGATGCAGGTAAATTACGATCACTGGGCTTTATGTCAATTAACTGACACATTATTCATAATTTAGGATTAGATGAAGACACAGATACAACTCAAGTTGCTCAGAATATTCCATCATCAATTCCACCGCCTGAAGTCACAGAACAGCCCAGGAGTCAACCTAAGAAACCATCTGCTAGGTGGAAAGAGTCAAGAATATTCACCGTAATAACATTCATCGTGAGGCTGATGCTGTCCTTCGATTGTGCTTGGTCTAAGAGGGGCAATGGGAAGAATTACGATAGCCTCAATGGATACGCTGCTCTGAGCGGTACGCAGAGTGGACTATTTCTCGATTATGGAACAGCAAACAGAGGT